ATAGAGAGATAGATGAAATAGAGAGATGATACAGATGATAGATGAGATAGATGAGACAGGCAGGCAGGCAGGCAGGCAGACAAACAAGACAATCTACGCAAAAACATTTCTGTTATTTGAAATGGACAACAGTTTAAATTCCTTTTTACTTCTAATTCTACTTCCTGTTTAATTCTGAACAATACTAGGTGAATAAGTAGTCCTTGAGTTACCACCACAATTGGGACCAGAATTTCCATTGTTAAGCTACATGATTTTTAAGTGAGTCACACCTGATGTTGTGACTTTTTTTTAATCACAAATCACTGCAGTTATTATGTCAATCATCTTATCATTGCAAATGGGGATTCCTTGATCCTGGGGCACTATAATCATCAAAAATACATGCCAGGTGGTCAGCAAAGATCTTTTTTTCTTTGGTCAACTCCTGCTAGCCTTTTCTGCCTTTTTTTTGATATCTCTTCCTGAGCTGCTGGGAGAGTCACACAACTTACTTTTATTGGAGTGAAAACGTTCCACGTTGATCCCTAGCATCTGTGGTTTAACTGTAAGAGAAAAATAAATCATCCAGTTCAGAAATTCTTTTCAATAGAGCCTTGGAAGCAATCAGATCCCAAATTACTTACGTTGATTTCCTGGAGTTGGTGTCCCAACCTCTTCTCTTCCACACTCTCCCTTTTTGGTTATAAGATGCTAAGAATTGGCCGCCATTTTGATAGGATAGCAATAGCACTTAGACTTATATACCGCTTCACAGTGCTTTTACAACCCTCTCTAAGCAGTTTACAAAATCATCATATTTCCCCCAACGATTTGGGTCCTCATTTGACCCACCTCAGAAGGATGGAAGGCTGAATCAACCTTGAGCTGGTGAGATTTGAACTGCCGAACTGCAGCTAGCAGTCAGCTGAAGTAGCCTGCAGTACTGCACTCTAACCACTATGCCATCTCAGCGCAGTTCGAAGTGTCTCTTACCTATTTTTCCTTTAAGGCTGAGTAAAGCTCGAGCTTGGTGGGATTTGAACTGCCAAATTGCAGGCAGCTGGCAGTCAGCAGAAGTAGCCTGCAGTACTGCGATCTAACCACTGCGCCACCACGGAAAATGCCCACATCGGTGTTTCTCAACCTTAGCAATTTTAAGGCATGTGAAGGCATGCTGACTGGGGAATTCTGGGAGTTGAAGTCCACAAAGTTGAAATTTAAAAGTTAAAATTGAGAAGGCTGGGAAACCCTGCCCTAGAGAGTCTCTGATTGTCCCCTTCTCCCCACAAGCCAGCGAAGAAAAACACCTCTCAAAGGCGTTGCCAGGCTGAGTGAAAGAGAGAACAGTAAACTGTGGGACTTTGCTCTCTGATGTAAAGGACCAGTGCAGTGGTGATATTCAGCTGGTTTTATCCGGTTTGGGCAAACCGGTAGCGGCGGCAGGAGGCTCCACCAACCTGCCTGGACCTTATCACTTCCCGTTTTTGACGTTCTGTGCATGCGCGGAAGGTCCTGTGCATGTGCAGAGGTGGCGCACAGGCTCACATTTGCGAACCGGTAGTGAAGGTAAGTGAATACCACCCCTGGACCAGTGACATAGCTCCATTCTTCAAACCAGAAATGAGTTGAAATTGCCTTGGGATTCAGGGATTCAACCTATGCAGACCTAGAAAGGATCACTCACAAATGACATTCAGTTGGACACTTGTCTCTCTGGAATCAGGATCGGTCTCATTTGTGTAATTGACCCTGCAGATGATATTCCGCTTGTGGTCTGCAGCAGAAGGTAAGAAATTCACCACTGAGCTGTAAACCTGGGTCCCATTCAACTGCGAATGAGAGTCGATGGGTTTGGAAAAGCCATGCCAGGTGAACTTTGGAGGCATCCAACTACAGCTTGCGAAGGTTGCACAGGTGATGTTTGTAGAATGTCCTTCTGCCATCGTAGACAAGATCTCTATTTCTGGTGATTGTCTTTCTAAGAAGAGAAGAGAGGAATCAGAAGAAAGTTATTCCCCGACTACATTCTTCCATCCACTGATCTTGATCTTCAAGCTCCTTCCCAAATGAATCTCAAGCAGGGGTGAAATCCAGCAGGTTCTGACAGGTTCTGGAGAACCGGTAGAGGAAATTTTGAGCAGTTTGGAGAACCCGCAAATGCCACCTCTGGCTGGCCCCAGAGTGGGGAGGGAATGGAGATTTTGCAATACCATTTCCCCAAGAGTGGGGAGGGAATGAGGATTTTGCAATAACCTTCCCCTGGAGTGGAGTGGGAATGGAGATTTTGCAATATCCTTCCCCTGACATGCCCACCAAGCCACGCCCACAGAACTGGTAGTAAAAAAAAATTGGATTTCACCACTGGTCTCAAGTGAGATGGACCCATTGAGATTTTATCCTCTCTTGACGTACAAGGTTTTATGCAACTGGACATGACCACAGAACTTCTATATTTCAAATGTTTATGAAAATTCTCAGTGATCCAGGCCATAATTGTATCAAAAGACTTAGGCAACTGGACCAGTGTCTATATTTCAAGCATCTTCTCAAGCATCTGAAGTAGCTTCTCAAATGAGAAGCGAAACATTTTCAAAGGAAAAAAACCCAAGAAAGTCCAGTTGCCTTTAAAAAAAAAAAAAAAAGCTCTTTTGGGACATGCACAAATCCACATTTGTCACCATCTCATGAATCTATAACACCTATGAAGCCCTCTTCCAATTTCGAGAACTTTGGTGTGTCCATCTACAAGGACAAAGTTACAGAGCCAGCAGCCCAGGAAATGCAAAACGAGGGCAGGAAACAGATCACAAAAGAATTCTTCAGGAGGATCTTCACTGGTGGGCTGTTGGTCAAAAGTCTTAGTGCTTCTCTCCCTCTTTTGCCAATTTCTACCATCAGGCTAAGAAAACAATTGCTTTTGACCATGGTTTATTAGAAAATCCACAATTGGCTTTTCAAACATGGCAAATCTATACATCGCCGTTTATAAATGACATCAAATGGGTTTACACATCCCACTGGCATAAATCAAAGAAACTGAAATATTGTTTAGTACAGTGTTGGCGAACCTTTTCCGCACCGAGTACCGAAATGGGAGTGCGTGTACGTGCCGGAAACCAGAAGAGCAGCCGTCCGATGTGCATGTGCACGCCGGGAAGATGATCTTCCAGTTTCCAAAGCGTGCATGCACACCAGGCGGCTATTTTCCCAGTTTCCGGTGCTCCCCCACTCGTGAAGACCAGCTGGCCAGCGCTCCGGAATCCGGAAGAGGAACAGGTGACAGCTCGCATGCCTAGAAAGATGGCTCTGTGTGCCATTTTCGGCACGCATGCCATAGGTTTGCCATCACGGGCTTAGTATGACGTGTGAAACTGAGGGCATCATCTACTGTATATTACTAAGGAAACATTAATGCTCTCCTAAAGCATTTCACTACCCCCATGATGGCGAACCTATGGCACAGGTGCCACAGGTGGCACATGGAGCCATATTGGTGGGCACACGAGTGTTGCCCTAGCTCAGCTCCAGCGCGCATGCGCGCACCAGCCAATTGATTTTCAGGCCTTCCAGTCCCACCAGAAGTCGTGAAACTGGCTGTTTCTGGCCTCCGGAAGGCCTCCGGGGGGATGGGGAAGGCTGTTTTTGCCCTCCCCAGGCTCCTAGAAAGCCTCTGGAGCCTGGGGAGGGGAAAAAACGGGCCTACCAGGCCCACACATGTCAAAAGCAGGGAGAAGTATGGGGGGGTCACGTGCACATGCGCGGGAGGGCGGGACGCATTGAATTATGGATGTGGACACACGCACCCGCGACCCGCACCCGCGACCCCCGCTTTTGGCACGCGACGGCAAAAAGGTTAACCATAACTTCACTACCCCTTGATGCTTCTGGGTCTAAACCTGTGGCTGCATGTGGATCATATTGCTTGAAACCTTATCTCTGGGTTTGTGTCTATGTGTGAAAGAGAGAGAAAGAAAGACGAAGGGAGGTTCTTTCATTTGGCAGTGGCTTTATTCCTGCATGTCACGGTTGTTATCTGCAGCCCCAACCCAGTGGTGGGTTGATCCCGGTTCAGTCCGGTTCTTGCGAACCGGTAATAAAAGCGATGGGAGGCTCCGCCCACTCGCCCGGGTGTCATTATGGACAATCTGCGCATGCGCAGAAGCACGTGTGCTCCCGTTGCGAACCAGTAGTAAAGGTAAGTGGAACTCACCCCTGCCCCAACCCAACCCTTATTTGTTTTATGTATTGATCAAATTGATATGGCCAGAAAGCAATTCTGGGCAGTGTACAAGAATCCAAAAATTCAATCACTGTATAAAAGAATTATTACCTCATCCCATCGTATAACTATTTTGAAAGCATTATCAAAGCAGAACGAAAACAAGAACAAAAAAGGTAACAGAGGGAGGGGTGTTAATAATAACATTTTACAACGGCTGGTGAAAACTGGAGCTTCTGACAAAGGCCAAACATTTTTCCAGGTACTCACCTGTCACGTTCAGGCGTGGGATAGGATAGCTGACAAAGCTAAAATATGCTTTAGGATCTTTCTCCATTCTGAAAAAGTACTTTCCTGCATCATTTTTTTGGGCATTCAAGATGAGGAGAGAACAGTTTCCTGCTGTCAGATTCCCGATGATTTGGAAGCGATTCTGAGCCGACTCTTGACTGGAGTTGGCCACTACAGGAGTATCTGCATTGTCTGATGCTCCTTTCTTCCAAAGTCCAGTCAATGTTGCATCCTTCAAGGCATCCTTTTCTTTATAAGTGAAATTGCAAGGAATCATGGCACAGAGCCCTTCCTCTACCGACACCTGATCAGGAGCGTTCAGGTCATACCCTTTCAATTTTCTAACTATCACACCTGCAAAAAATGGAAAACAAGAAGCTCAGCTACCCAGTAACGGACACCCCGTCCCACTTCCATCCTTGGAGAGGAGAACTAATCCAGGGCTGCGATCAAGAATCAGCCTCTCACCTTCTCACCAGCTCTTACCTTTCCAAAGCAACTGCGTTGAAATTAACCCAAGGAAGAAGGTCTCAAGGGGACAAGCCATGTTCTCATCCCTGAAACTTCAGCCTCTTTGGAAGGTTGTGCTCAGCAGTAGAAGTCCAAGGAGCCAAACCTAAGTACAGAAACTGTGAGAATGAGTTTTTCCTTGGGAGAATATTGAAACCAGGGCAATATCAGATGATGGATATCTCAAAATAAAATCTATCCATGATTGTAACAAGTGTTTCTTCTCCACTCAGACAAATACAGACAAATTCAACTTACAACTTTTAGTTTAGTGACCTAAAGTTCCAATGGCAACGAAAGTTCAAAGTTCCAATGGCAACGAAAAAAAAAAGTGATTTACAACCCAGGCTTTGCGCCTGTGACTGTTGCAATATCTCTACGATCCCTGCATGGCGACGCAATGGTTAGAATGCAGCATTGCAGGCAAACTCTGCCCACTGCCAGCAGTTCGATCCTGACCGGCTCAAGTTTGACTCAGCCTTCTATCTTTCCGAGGTGGGTAAAATGAGGACCCAGATTGCTGGGGGCAATTATGCTGACTCTGCAAACTGCTTAGAGAGGGCTGCAAAGCACTGTGAAGCGGTATATATGTCTAAGTGCTATTGCTATCAACATTCAGGCACTTGTATTTATGATGGTTACAGTGTCCCAGGGTTATGTGATCCCTATTTGCAACCTTCCCAGCTGTCTTTCAACAAACAAAGTCAATGGGGGAGGCCAGTCCACTTCACAACCACCTGGTTCACTTAACAACTGCAGTGATTCATGGTAAAGTGGTTACTACATCAGACACAGCTCAGTTAACAACAGCTTTACTTAGCAACAGAAATTCTGGTCCCAATTGTGGTCCAGAGGTGGGATTTAACAGGTTCTGACCAGTTCTGGAGAACCGATAGCGGAAATTTTGAGTAGTTCGGAAAACCTGCAAATACCACCTCTGACTGGCCTCACCCCCATCTAGTCTCTGCCTCCTGAGTCGCAGCTGATTGGGAGGAAATGGGGATTTTGCAGTATCCTTCCCCCTGGAGTGGGGAGGGAATGGAGATTTTACAGTATCCTTCCCCTGCCACGCCCACCAAGCCACGCCCACCAAGCCATGTCATGCCCACCAAGCCACACCCACAGAACCGGTAGTAAAAAAATTTGAAACCCACCACTGTATGTGGTCATAAGTCAACAACTACCTGCAGTTTTCCTTGAGGTTGGAAGAATATGACATTTAAGCCATTCGGCTAAAAGTCTTTGGAGTTTTTGTTTACGTATTTTTCCCCCCCCAAATAAAGTAAATCAGAACAGATACCAGCTGCAATGCAGAAAGACATTCTGGATCATTCTGGAAAGATAGAATACTTTTGAACAGGAAAAGCTCTTAATATCTGGAATGGCCACCAACATACCACCATTAATGGACCTGAAGATTCTTAGAGATGATCTTGCTTTAGCATTGTAAGGTATCTTGTAAGCATCCAAGTATATTTCCATGAAATTTGGGAATCAGATCAGAAGTTTATTTCATGGCATGATTATAATGCCGTCGGTCGTTTTGTTTTTATCTGGGCCACCTTCCCACCTTCAACCAATTCCTTCCGCCAATAAGAGGGCTGATTTAAGGGCGCCAAATTAAACAAATACACATCCAACAGAGTCTTCTTGCATAAGGATTTTTGGAGAAGTGGAACTAATATCATATGTAAAACCTTACTCTGTTTTTACTATCCAGACAGTAGATTCTATTTTTAGGCAACCAAAACGGGTGGTTCTGGTCACAAGAGGAAAGGAATGTGACTTTAAGGGGACTTCCATAGTCGTTTCAGAGAGAATGTTCACAAGGTGAGCGAAAGGGTGAAAGAAAGGATAGTCAACGGGACAGAATAGACACTTTTGCTCCCAAATCCCTCCAGTTGAAGGTAGATCTGAGACAGTTCCATTCTTCTGTCCCTCTTGCCCCCTTTATGTCATAGGAGCTATTGCTAAAATAGGGGATAGTGATGCATTGTGGCTGCATCGAAGAATGCCTTGTGTCTACACCTGTTGGACAGTGTCTAACTTTTGTCAGTTGCTTCAGAGAACAAGCCCAGGAGAAACCTGCGGTACACAGAGACCTATTTTGCCTCTCATTCTTACTTCTTTAGAACTGGAGACAGAACTAAATGTATGATTTAGGAAAGATAAATGATAAAAGATTGACCGTAGCAGATGAGATCGCATCCGCCACATTTGCAACAAAGTAGGGCAATCCTTGTTAGTTCACGTCACAAGCTTCCTCCCAGAGGAGTCTTGTAGGGAAATTAGGAAGCTGGCAGGCAAGACGTGAGGTCATCATCTTAATTTATACGGACACTAATTTAGTCTGTCATATCAGTAGCAAAGTGGTTTATTTTAATTAGAAGTTTTCTCCTTAGTTTGTCTTTTAAAACTGCCCTTTTGTGATGGCTGAAGGAATTACGGGCCTCATCATTGCAGACTTTCTTCTCCCGATATGTCTTTACCCAGGGGTGAAATGTAAAATTTGTTACTACCGGTTCTGTGGGCGTGGCTTGGGGGGATAATGTGACTGGGTGGGCGTGGCCAACTTTTTTTTTTTTAACTTTTCAAAGCATTTTTTCTAATGCTTTGAAAAGCCTCTGCCGATCAAGCAACTCATCTGGGATCGTCAGAGAGGCTTTTTAAAAAATGCTTTGAAAAACCTCTCTGACGATCGGGCGACTCAGCTGGGATCATCAGAGAGGCTTTTAAAAAAAAAATGCTTTGAAAAGCCTCTCTGATGATCAGGCAACTCAGCTGTGATCGTCAGAGACTTTTCAAAGCATTTTTTTAACCACCTCTTCGGCCAAGAGGTTGCAGAAAAAAATGCTTTGAAAAGCCTCTGAGGATCCCAGCTGAGCCGTGCGATCATCAGAGGCTTTTTTTTTTTTAACTTTTAAAAGCATTTTTTCGTCGGAAGAGGTTGTAGAAAAAATACTTTTAAAAGTAAAAAAAAAAAAAGCTTCTGATGATCGTGCGGTCCAGCTGGGCATGGGGAGGGGGGGGAGGGCGGGGGGATTTTTGCTACCGGTTCTCCGAACCACCCGCCGCCATCGCTACTGGATTGGGCAATCCGGTCCGAACCAGGAGCATTTCACCCCTGTCTTTACCTCTAGGGTAGTTAGGATTTGTAGTTCACCAATCTTGCAACACCGAATCCCAAAGTGTTAATGTATAACTCGGTGAAAGTCTGCTTGTTTTGGTCTCCTGGAATTGCCCACCGTTCAGCTTCACTTCTCTCTAATCCGCATGGTAAACGTTATGAGCCTTTTCCATATCGTTCAGCTGCTTCTATTCAGAGAGCTAGAAACTTAGAATTTCCCAACATTACCATGTTGCAAACTGGGCTTAGATGTTTTGGTGTCATGACCATCAAGCTTCCTGAATATGGTTTCAAGAAGAAGGAGGAAGAAGAGGAAGAGGAGGAAGACGCCAGCACTGGTAGTCATTTTAATAGAGCATAAACAAAAGATCCATAAATCATGATGATTCTGAATTTTTTAAAGTCTTCCTTTAAACTTCAAATGCATCACAGTTTTAGGCTTGCTATATTTCATATCGCTCTAGGGCCGTAATTCTAAATATAATCTCTAGACCATAGAATGGAGAATCTTTCACTGTAGGTCATGGTTGATTATTTAACACCACTGACAATGCCGCCACCCTACAAAGTGACTTTGACTATGTGTCAGAATGGTTGCGCATTTGGCAACTCCAAATCTCAACTAATAAATGCTCTTTCTTACACATTGGCAAAAAAAAAAAAAATCAGAACCCCAAATACAAGTTGGGCGGAAACGATCTTGTAGACAACCCTCATTCTGTCAAGGACCTAGGAGTACTCATCTCAAACGATCTAAGCCCCAGAGCTTACTGTAACAGTATTGCCAAAAAGTCATTAAGAATTGTTAATCTAATCTTGCGAAGCTTCTTTTCCAGTAACATTGTATTGCTAACTAGGGCATACAAAACCTTTGCCAGACCATTTCTTGAATACAGCTCATCCGCCTGGAATCCACACTGTATATTGGACATTAACATGATTGAGCGGGTCCAGAGGTATTTCACAAGAAGAGTACTCCACTCTTCTATTCACAACAGAATCCCTTATGCCACCAGGCTTGAAATTCTGGGCTTGGACAATCTGGAATTGTGCTGCCTGCAGTCCTATCTAAGCATACTGCACAAAATTGTCTGCTTTAACATCTTACCTGTCAACAACTTCTTCAGTTTCAACCACAATAATACATGGGCAAATAATTGATACACACTCAAGGTAAATGGCTCCAAACTCTATTGCAGAAAATACGACTTCAGCAACAGAGTGGTCAACGCCTGGAATGCTTTACCTGACTCCGTTGTTACATCCTCAAACCCTCAGAGCTTCAACCTCAATCTGTCTACCGTGGACCTTACCCCATTCCTAAGAGGTCCATAAAGGGGGCGTGCATAAGCGCACCTATCGTCCCTGTCCTACTGTCCCCATTTATCTATACTTACTTCCTTTGTTTATATTTATGTTTATACCTATCTTGCCATCTTGTACATGTTTGACAAATAGACAGATAGACAGACAGACAGACAGACAGACAGACAGACAGACAGACAGACAGACAGACAGATAGATAGATAGATCCTACCAATAGACTAGGATCTGATGGTGCTATTCTCAATATACCTATTCAGATTTTTAAAACTCATTCTCTTTTTGACTTGTTTACTGATAAAGGTGCCTTGGTACATGCCAGGCCAATCCCCAATGAATGTAGAGGCATGAACTCTGAATTTACTTACTATGAGAGAAACGTCACTGGTACTTAAGTTTCTTAAGAGGTTAGAAATTATGTGTCTGCTTGCTGGAGGAATTTCCGGTATATACTGTATGCCCAGATTTCATAAGTGGCTTGAAGATTTCTTTAAAGTAATAGCCTCGTCCTCTTTGTTACAAATTTCATAGTTACATGTTATCATCATATTATATGTAAGCATTCTAAATATATAATTTAAGATATACCAATCTTGTAAAGTGTACATGATGGTTGTGGATAGAAAATAAAGCATGATTTAAAAAAAACAAAACTGGGGATTTGCTGGGATTTAAAATATATTTGAGGCTAAGTTATATATGTATTTGGTGGGAGAGTGTGGGGGAATGACTTTTTTTCTAAAGAAAAGGTTTCCATTTCCAGATTTGAGAATTTCCAGATTTGGGGAATTTGGGGACTTGTAAGTGATGAGACAATAAGAAGTTCTGAAAGATTCAGGGAAATTTTATCAGGCACACCTTCCTGGTCAAAGCAGACATGAAAGTAGAAATTTTTAGGCAAGATTTATCATCACTTTTACTTCATGCAGGGAGACCAGGAATGATCACTTTAGGAAGTACTTAAATAAATGACCCAAAGCAAGCATCAGAGGTGTGAAAAGACACCTAGTTTCAACTGGAGAAGAATCAGCATTTAAAAAAAAAAAAACGCCCTTTGATTCTAGACCATTTGAGATGCTCACTTGATTGAATTATCCTTTCTGAAATCATTCCTGCTGGATTAAAAAGCGGGGTGTATATATATATATATATTATATGTTTTCTCAGGTTTTCGCGGGTGTTTGTATGCAGGTCTTTGGTTATTCGGGTCTTCTCCCACGTAAAATTGGAAGTGTCTTGGCGACGTTTCGACGAAGTCTCATTCGTCATCTTCAGCTGGTGTCTTGGCTTCGTCCTGACGTTTCGACGAAGTCTCATTCGTCATCTTCAGGCTGGTGTTCTCGGCTTCGTCTTCCAGGAAGCACGAAGCCGAGAACACCAGCCTGAAGATGACGAATGAGACTTCGTCGAAACGTCGCCAAGACACTTCCAATTTTACATGGGAGAAGACCCGAATAACCAAAGACCTGCATATATATATATATATATATATATATATATATATATATATATATATATATATCCCCTGCTTTTATATATATATATTTTATAAAAGATGTCTGATAAAGCCTGAAAGTGGTGATTTGAGATATCACCCCACTATGGCCATGTAAATAACTTGATCTACATAGGAAAAAACCCTGACTAAAAAAGTATTATACATTTGTACCAAGAATTAAAAGAATACATACACATATACATATACATATACATATACATATACATATACATATACATATACATATACATATACATATACATATACATATACATATATATAGCTTCTGGTGGCGAAAACTACCTTTTTAAAATATTCCTTCCACTGAGAAGACAAAACCCCAAAAAACTAAGAATAGCAGCAGCGGCGGGAAGAAAAATTGGCCACTGCCAAGGAGTTGAGAAATCAAACAACGTACCACTTAAATCCAGAAATTCCAGAATGAGGCAGATTCTCTTACGGCGGTTGGCCAGCTAAGCTGCAAAAGTAAAGGATGCCAATAAAAGCTCAGATTAGACCCTTTAAAGCAGGGGTCTCCAACCTTGGCAATTTTAAGACTTGTGGTCTTCAACTGGCCAGAATTCTGGGAGTTGAAGTCCACAAGTCTTAAAGTTGCCGCGGTTGGAGACCCCTGCTTTAAAGCTCTTTTCGATCTCAGTCAGAGGCCTTTGAAGTCAACTAGGCTCTTAAAATTCCCACTGAGTGAAAAAGGAAGGATGGTCTCACCTCTTGGTGCAGGAGAGCTGCCTTTCTCCAGGACTTCGGAGAGCTTCTGTGCTCCTGTGGTTTATTCTGTGCTATTGTCAGAACAGTGCAGGAAAAGGCCTTTTGACAGAAATCTCTTTCCTCGCAGGAAAGCAGAAGTGGTTATAGTTCTCATAGATCAATTGCAACATCCTCATTCAACAAATTCAAAAAGGGATGGGGTTCGATTGAGTGACATAGGAGATTATCCTTGTTTGTGGGAAATAAGAACGCACCCTCCACGCACATCAGATCAGAGTATAAAAGTGATTTGTTTCCGGGAGTTCTCTGGAATCGGATTTTGAGTTGCAGACGTTTTATTGCAACACTTCCCCTTCAAAAAAAAAAAAAAAAAAAGTTTGGAGAACAATGACAATAACATGCCAGCCCCTGAAATACCAGGTAGTCCTCGATTTACGACTACAATGGAGCCCAAAATTTATGTTGCAGTGAGATAAATTTGTTTCTTAAGTGAATCACTGCAGTTGTTAAATTAGTAACCCAGTTGTTAAGTGAATCTGGTTTCCCCAGTGTAAATCACGTGACCATGGGTGGGCTGCAATGGTCATAAGTGTGAAAAATGGTTGTAAGTCACTTTTTTCATTGCCGTTGTAACTTTGAATGGTCACTAAATGAACTGTTGTAAATCGAGGACAACCTATACCAGGGGACAACAACCTGCGGCTCTGGAGGGGCAGGGGGCTCTTTCACCCCTCTGCTGCGGCTCCCTGTCACTCAAAATATGCGTCACAACTGTCAACGTACGGTCATTAAGGCCATCATTAAGACCATCATGAATGGTCATTAAGCAAACCGTTGTAAATCAAGGACTACCTGTATGTACATCAGGGGTGAAATCCAGCAGGTTCTGACAGGTTCTGGAGCACCGGTAGCGGAAATTTTGAGCAGTTTGGAGAACCGGCAAATGCCACCTCTGGCTGGCCCCAGAGGGAATGGAGATTTTGCAATATCCTCCCCCAGGAGCGGGGAGGGAATGGGGAATTTGCAGTATCCTTCCTCTGGAGTGGGGTGGGAATGGAGATTTTGCAGTATCCTTCCCCTACCACGCCCACCAAGCCATACCACGCCCACCAAGCCACACCCACAGAACCGGTAGTAAAAAAAATTGAATTTCACCACTGATGTACATACATTAGACATGTGAGGTGTTGTTGATTCAATAACATGAAGTTGGGTCTAGTTAGCTAATTCATCAACAGCCCATGATTCTATAGCAACAGAAATCTCTTACTCGACTTACTACAACAGTTGAGCCCAAAATTTATGGTGCCAAGTGAGACATTTGTTAAGTGAGTTTTGCCCCGTTTTACAATCTTTCTTGCCATAGTTGTGTTGGAAGAAATATCTTTCTGGGTTCAGTTCCAAGTGGGGAAAAAGACACTGGATTCGTGGAAGTTGCTTGGAAAGAAGGTTTTATTGATGAACAGGATCACATGCCTTGGAGATCTTGGGCAGAAAAAGGGAAGAGATGCTGAGAGTCCTTGGGTTTTATACCCTCTCTGGCTTTGAACTTCCCAGGGCACAGGAAGAGTACCCTGATTGGTTGCTGTCAGAGGTCATGGCTAGCTTTTTAGGTTGTCTGTGTGTTACGTTTGGTTGAATCTTGCTGGGTGATGCAATGAAGGGCAATTAAATGGCTCTGCCTGAAAGAGGTAGATCTTTGTTATGTAAAATAGACTGGCCCAGGCCTTAATGGCCCATTGACAAAGGGGCGGGGGGGCTTTTAAGGGAAATATTCTGCCCTTCTAATATTTTCTAAAATATCTCATTTTCCTAGGAGAGGGGTGGGTGCTAACTTCCTACAGTTGTTACGTGAATCACTGCAGCTGTTAAGTTAGTAACACGGTTGTTAAGTGAATCTGGCTTCCCCATTGACTTTGCTTGTCAGAAGTTTACAAAAGGAGATCCCATGATCCTGGGACATTGCAACCATCATAAATATGAATCAGTTGCAAGCATCTTGATTTTAATCACACGATCATCGGGATGCTGCAAAGGTCGTATGTGTGAAAAAATGGTCATAAATCACTTTTTTCAGTGCCGTTGTAAATTCAAACTGTCACTAAATGAACTCTTGTGTGTCAAGGACGACTGGCATAGCGTCACAAATCAGCTGTCGTCATGCAAAAGGTATTGTTGGTTCATCACTTCATCATCCTACCATCATACCAGGGGTGAAATCCAGCAGGTTCTGACAGGTTCTGGAGAACCGGTAGCGGAAATTTTGAGCAGTTCGGAGAACCGGTAGCAGAAATTTTAAGTAGTTCAGAGAACCGGCAAATACCATTTCTGGCTGGCCCCAGAGTGGGGTGGGAATGGAGATTTTGCAATATCCTTCCCCCAGGAATGGGGAGGGAATGGTGATTTTGCTGTATCCTTCCCCTGGAGTGGGGTGGGAATGGAGATTTTACAGTATCCTTCCCCTGCCATGCCCATCAAGCCACACCCACAGAACCAGTAGTAAAAAGATTTGGATTTCACCACTGCTTCATACGTCTTGCATATACACACGGGCATAAACTAAATTTGGACCGAGACACCTTAAGACCTCATCTTTGATGAGTTCTCCTTCAAAGGAAACCTCACCTGGTAAGTCTTTTATGCTCAGGGAAGCATAAGGAAGCAATCCCAAATCCCAGTGTCTGAAGGAAAACACCTGGATCCCACCTTTCCTCTAAAATCCTTTCTAAAATCCTGAATTATTTAGCTGTCACCTGGATATACGGAAGACCTGGTGTGAAATAAGGTGAACCAGCCCCTTAACTCAGTTTTTATTCACCTGGAAATGGCTGGATGTTTTCCAGCATGAGAATATAAAGGATTATCCCCTTGAAAGCATTTTTCATCATCACCACTCTCACCTAAAGAACCTTCGGTCAACTAGTAGTTTTAAAAAGTTCCCTGCTAGGTCTGAGAATAATTTGATGATGGCTGTATAAGCTTGATCATCGCTCACTAAGTCATACTCGAGATTTGAAGCGACAGGTTGAGAGAAGATGATTGTCATTGAAACTCCAAAGGTAATTTTGGAGTAGAATCAAAACTCTAAGCTCCAGTTATCGCACTGACTCTACACTCAATGTTGACTCTGCCCTCTTAGGGGACTTAGGGTGGGTTCTAAATTTTTTTACTACCGGTTCTGTGGGCGTGGCTTATTTTGTGGGCGTGGCTTGATGGTCATATGACAATTATTTAGGATTTAGCAGAGGTACTGGTCTACCAGGCTTTTAACTGCTTGCAGAGTTGTACTGATCTACCCATTTATTTTTGCAGGCACTGATCTACTCATGTATTTTTGCAGGCACTGATCTACTCATGTGTTTTTGCAGGCACTGATCTACTCATGTATTTTTGCAGGCACTGGTCTACTCATTTGTTCACTGATCAGCTGTAGGGCGGCCCTTTGAAGCCCCTCGGCAAGAGTTTAAACAGTTTTTTTTCCCTCTAGCCATCAGCTGGGACTCAGGAGGCAGCAATAGATTAGAGGTGGGGCCAAATAAAAGGTAAGAATAACGTGGGGGGGATGGGGGGGCACCGGGGGCGGGGGTGGTGGAAGAACTGGTTCGGTGACGTCATATCGTCACCGCTACCGGCTCAAGAGGACCAGGCCGAACCGGGAGGAACCCGCCACTGGACTGGAGGCTAAAGCATATAAAGAACGGTTGCTGGAATTGGGTATGTCTAGTTTAATGAAAAGAAGGACTATAGTTGACATGATAGCAGTGTTCCAATATCTAACAGGTTGCCACAAAGAAGAGAGAGTCAATCTATTTTCCAAAGAACCTGAAGGCAGGGTGAGAAGCAATGGGTGGAAACTAATCAAGGGGAGAAGCAACCTAGAACTAAGCAGAAATTTCCTGACAGTGAGAACAATTCATCAGTGGAACAACTTGCCTCCAGAAGTTGTGGATGCTCCAACACTGGAGGATTTTAAGAAGACATTGGACAACCAGTATTCTGAAATGATATGGCTACGGCATATTCTGCGGCGAGTTGGTCATGACAAATTGGTCACGGTGAGTTGGCCAAAGTGAGTTGACCCATTCCAAAGCCAAAGGAGGAGGCCAGTCTACTGAACCTTTGGTTAACAGCACGGTGGTGCAGCAGCCACACGTTTGTCAAATTTCACGCCTACAGGGAGTCTTGGGTCCTGGATTTTGGACCCATTCTGTAAGTTAGGCCATTTGAAGTACCATGGTTCCAAAACCATGCACCATTTCACCCGATGGAAATATAGAGACAAAGAGACACAAATGTTTTAGTAGTAGTATTTATATATGTACAATATGTATGTATGTATGCGTAGATGAATTATTACAGTTTTGATCTAGTAGCCTTATCCTCATTACATGTGGTGTTTCTTAGGAATGATTGATTAATTATGTATCATCAAGTCAGTGTCAATTCTTAGCAATCACACAGGTAAATTTTCTCCGGGATGATCTGTCCCTAACTTGGTCCTTAGGTAGCCCCATTGCCACTTATAACCGAATCCGTCCCCCTTGCTGCTGGTTATCCTCTTCTTCTCTTTCCTTCCTCCTTTCCCAGCATTACAGCCTTTTTCAGAGAGCTGGGTCTTCTTATAGGTAAAGGTAAACGTCTCCGTGGTCATGTGGCCAGCATGACTAAACGCCAAAGGTGCATGGAACGCTGTTACCTTCTCACCAAAGGTGGTCCCTATTTTTCTACTTGCATTTTTTACGTGCGTTCGAACTGCTAGGTTGGCAGAAGCTGGGACAAGTAACGGGAGCTCACCCTGTTACGCGGCACTAGGGACTCGAACCGCTGAACTGCCGACCTTTAGATCGACAAGCTCAGCGTCTTAGTCTCAAGTCTTCTTATAATAGGTGTGAAATAGATAATGTGAGCCTGATTACTTGTGGCTTGAATGATGGGCTGATTTGTTTGATGATTTATTTCTTGACTTTCCCTGGTATCTTCAGGAGTCAGCACTGAAGTTCGAAAAACTGTCAATCCTCTTTCTCTCCCGTTTCTTCAAAAGCGAACACACTCACTTCCAAGGACTTTATTTTCTTTGGATCGGTGAATATTCCACATTGTCGTCACTTAAGTCTGGAACACCTTTACTTTTCGGCTTGAAATTTAAGGCTGCATACTGCAATTCAGGTGGTTCTGATCTCCTTGGGGCTGGAACGGTAGACACCTGGGGTACTTTAGCCTTCCTTTCTCCAGCAGGTTTTGGCTTATCGGCTGGGGACAACCTTGGACCCTGAAAGAAAGGAACGATGTTTTGGAAAAGAGGATAAAAAAAAAAACCTTCCCCCCCCCTTGTTCTCACCTTATTTTCTAACTGATTGTTGGACACAAACAACAAAGAAATGGGAGAGAAATTTGCTTAGTAGCTTAGGTCAAGTGCCCAGGAAATCAGGAGATTTAGGCTGTTCCAGTGGTGGGATTCAGCCGGTTCTCTCCGGATCAGGCAAACCGGCGGGAGGCTCTGCCCACCTGCCCAGACATAATGCGCGAGCACTGCACATGCGCAGAAGGCCGTGCACATGTGTACATGTGCACGCGTGCTCAAATTTGTGAACCAGTAGGCAAGGTAAGTGAATTTCTGCCAAGCACCCGGGATTCTGTTCACGTGATCACAGGGGTGCTGGGACAAGCCATCATTCAGAGGACCAATTGTAACCATCATTCGTTCAGCAATTCTGTAACTTCAAACAATCGCTAAACAAATAGCTGTAAACCGAGGATTATCTGTATTCTTATTCTCCCTTCCTGAGAGTGCTTGATGGCGGCATATTTAAGATGACAGTGAAAAAAATAATAATAGCTGCACTTGACTCATTGACATATGGCACACAAAAGTGTCAGTGCCTCAGTTTCCTCAAAACTGGGTTAATTTAGGCCATGGGCAACATTTGGGGTCTCAGGGGCATAAACAACATGCCCCAAAGAAGTTAGAACTGAAAAGAAGTCAATTTTTTTTAAAAGAAATATATTTCTTTTTCTTTTAATTAGCTCATTCCAAACCTGAAGGAATTTACTATTATTATTTTTTTTTACATTTTTTAAAATACCAGGAATCTATGTGATTTCAGGAAAGACTAATGGACATAAGCTTGCAAATTTAGTTATTTGGGTTCCCTTTTCAATACATTGTCTTTTTAATGTATCTTTACACAAAGGTTGTTTGTTTGTTTATTTTTTGGCCAATATAAAGGTTCCTTACAAATGCCATAAACATAATGAACTATTCTGGCCAGCTACATTTAAGGAAGGATTACAGCTTGACCCAAAAAAAAACATGCCACACTGGCTTTTGATGAAAGGATTACAACAACAATGTTTTGTTAGCTTTTGAAATTCCCTTACTTAGGATCTTTTAGGACAGCAAGAACTGGTTTTCTATGAACAGAAAAGAAAAACCAGCTACAGAAAGGAAATGTATTTTTGTTAGGTTTGATTTTGACCAGATTCCTTGAACAATCATTTTGCACTCCTAAAAATGGATCCGTAATTTGGAATAGAGTGCCAGAAGATAGTGTTGTGGCCCGCCAGAGGCCAGCAGAACTGGCAGCAGATTCGGACAGTGGGGAGGTTGAGGAGGAACATGAGCCAATCCTGGAGTCTGGGAAAGGCTCAGACAAGGGCTCTGAGTTGGAGGCAGAGAGGGGGCCAAGGCCCACTGGTAGTTCTTTGCTGCCTCTGTAGTCTCAGGAGTCTGACATCAGCGAGGCAGAAGAACAGCGGTAGCCTGTTCCCAGTGTGCGCATGCGCAGAGCTGCCAGAGGACAGGAACAATTAAGAAAACAGGGTCGACTTGGGAGTAAGGCTTGGAGATGATTGGCCCCTCCCATAAGACATAAAAGAGAAGCGAACGGGACATGAGCTTTTGCAGGAAGCAATTAGTTCATCTGGTCGGTAAAAGCTTTGGAAAAGCTCTGTTTGACTCTGTGCCAAGTTTGGCCTTGCCCTGCGTGTGGCAATTAGTTCTCTGGCAGCATTCCAAGGGAGATAAGGTGGGTGTTTCTAAACACTCCCCTGAAAGACTGTTTGAGAAGCCTTTCGGACTGGGAATGACAGTAATTCACAGCCATATGAATTAAAGAGGTTTGCCGGGACTAAGATTGTGCTGTATACTTTCTAAGGAAGCCTAGGTCAGAACAAATAGTGATGAAATCCATCGCTAAGGTTTCATTTCAAGCATCCTGCCTTCCATTGAGGACCTTTTGCAACAACAACAACAACAACAACAACAACAACAACAACAACAACAACAACAAAATTATTACACTCTTAGACCAGAGACCAGAACAAATAAAAGCACTCAGTATCTATACACTTAAAACTTCTAGTATAAAATAATAAATAACAACTAAAATCTATAATAAAATCCAGTGTCAATTATTCACGATCTGACTATACAATAGTTGCAATCCCTAAACTGTGTGGCCTGTTGTCGGTTCAACGCTAAAAGGGAAATGACTAAACAGTGCAAAGGGTTTACCACAATTGTTATGTAACATCAGTATGGTGGAGAAGACGTGTGTTTGCTTCAAATCCCCAGTGCTGCGGCGCAAAATCTAGCCATCTGAGCTGTAGTTATGGGCTGTTCGTCCTTAAGCAGCCACTGAAGCAGTGGTTGGTTGCTCCGGTTCGGTCCGGTTCTTGTGAACCGGTAGTAACGTCGGCGGGAGACTCTGCCTACCCGGCTGGATGTCATCATGGACAATCTGTGCGTGCGCAGAACGCACGTGCGGTCATTGCGAACCGGTAGTGGTGGTAAGTAGAACCCACCCCTGCACTGAAGATAGGTAATGTCGGAATAGCCGGGATACCTAGCAGTTATTGGCAGAATATGTTTTTTCCTAATCTCCGTATAAAAGGAACATCTAAGGAGCAAGTGACCCACAGTCTCCACCTCTCCTGAGCCACAGGGATAGAATCTTTCCATGAATGGTATCCTTTTATACTTGCCGTACAGGACCGCCGATGGAAGCGCATGGCACTGCGCGAGGGCAAATGCTTTCCGGTGGTTTGCTCACTCCAACTGACTAAGATGAGGATCTGTGAACTGCACAGGCCAGAAAGAAGGCTGAGAAAATATCTACAGACCCTTCACATCCTGGACATAAATTCCTTCCCTCGGGATGATGCTACAGGGCATTGCGTGCCAAAACAATTAAACACAGGGAGAGTATTTTTTTCCCTAGTGCCATCACTCTGCTGAACATCTAATTCCCACAGTACTGTCTTATGTCTAAGTATTTTTACCCATGTAGTATGGCTGTTTTACTTTTATCCTTCTCAACTGTTCCACTACCTTCTCTTATTGGTATCATTTTTATGATTATTATTACTTTGTTGTATTGCATGTGCACTGAGAGCTTATGCACCAGAGACAAATTCCTTGTGTGTCTATCACACTTGGCCAACCTATTGTATTGTATTGTATTGTATTGTATTGTATTGTATTGTATTGTATTCTATTCTATTCTATTCTATTCTATTCTATTCTATTCTATTCTATTCTTCCTCCTTCCTTTCCTTTCCTTGCCTTGCCTTGCCTTGCCTTGCCTTGCCTTGCCTTGCCTTGCCTTGCCTTGCCTTCCTTCCTTCCTTCCTTCCTTCCTTCCTTCCTTCCTTCCTTCCTTTCCTTCTCCAGATGAAGAGACAGAGAATAGCAAAGCTACATATGAAGCCTACCATCGGAAAAACGTTGCTGTAGATATGGCTGGAATTCTTGGGTTTCTCCTGAGGTTCTCTTCCAGAAGAGATTCCTTCAACATGGCTAGCTTCGAGAATTGCTTTCTTCTGCTTAAAAACCCTGGCAGGAATTCAGTAGGACAACATTAGGTTATTATAGATCCATGGAGTCATAAAATGGATGGGACCTAGGAAATAATTTAATTCAGGGTTCCCCAAAGTGATTGACATTAATCCCAAAGGCTGATGGGAGTTTCCAAGGGATAATCAACACTCCTTTAACTAATAGTACTATAGGATTATCCAAGAAGTTATTGCTATATTTTTGTATATTTATTACATCATCATCATCATCATCATCATCATCATCATCATCATCATCATCATAATAATAATAATAATAATAATAATACAATAATAAATGCTTGGGGGCTTATGAGCAATTAGAAACTTCATCAAGGGGTTGATGAACTAAAGAGTTTAAGGACCCCGATCTAGCCCAACCTCTATTACTAGAGTTCCAGGCCCAAAATGGGGCATGGGGGCATTGCGTGCCCCCCTACACCCTATTTTGGGCTTGGATGGCCTCCTGCACTATCCTGGAATCCAAAACAGGGCATGCAGGGGGTCTTCTGGGAGGGGCGGGGTGGGGTGGGGTGGGGCGAGGCCAGCCAGAGGGGGGATTAGCCAGTTCTCTGAACCAGTAAAAAATGTAACAACCGGTTCACTTGAACCGGTGTAAACCATATGCAGACCACATCTGAGAGTAATCCATTGCTACAGCAACAGTTATTCCAGAGTAAGAAGCAGGGGTGAAATGCTCCCGGTTTGGACCGGATCACCCGATCCAGTAGCGATGGAGGCGGGTGGTTCGGAGAACCGGTAGCAAAAATCCCTGCCCCCCCCATGCCCAGCTGAGCCGCGCAATCATCAAAGGCTTTTTTTTATTTTTAAAAGCATTTTTTCTACAACCTCTTTGGCCAAAAAAAAAATGCTTTTAAAAGCAAAACAATTGCCTCTGATGATCGCGCGGCTCAGTTGGGATCATCAGAGGCTTTTAAAAGCATTTTTTCTACAACCTCTTCAGCCTTCCTTTTAAAAGGGAAAAAAGCCTCTGCCGATCAGGCAAGTCAGCTGGGATCGTCAGAGGCTTTAAAAGCATTTTTTTTTACAATCTCTTCAGCCAAAGAGGTTGTAGAAAAAATGGTTTTAAAAGTTAAAAAAAAAAAAGTTGGCCACACCCACTCAGTCATATTACCCCCCACCATATTACCCCCACCAAGCCACGCCCACAGAACCAGTAGTAACAAATTTTACATTTCACCACGGGTAAGAAGCCATCAGCTTCTCCATTTTTTCCTCCTAACGCTGATCTCTTAATCCCTACCTTTTTGCTTGTGTCAATTCCGTAATCGGTTTACATCCATCATTTTTCCATCCCTTTCTCTTATTAATGATGCATTTCCTTCCCACAACAATGCAACACTCCATTTCTTTGAAATCGTAATAATATTGGGTTGGGGTCTTATGTCTTTGTACACACTTTATAAATACTAAAGATTCAGATAGTGTCACCATAGAGGGATAGATCATACTTTGGCTCTTCCCAAATGTAACAATGACAGATGGGTAGTTTAGGCTGAACATCTGGAGTCAAGCAGAAAGTTTTCAGCACTATTATAGATACCCTACTCGGGAGTAGCTTAGTGATAGTAATCAAGCAAGCATGATGTGGAGAGAAACTCACCTGATCAGGAATAAGCACAACATGAAGATTCCAGCTCCCAGAAAAATTCCACAGAGCCCAGCAATGAACAAAGCCTTATTAGATTTTCCTGCAACAATAAATAAACCAAGACCTTTGTGGAAAATCAACCCTGGGGAATTAGGAAATCTGGTTCTTCTGGTAATCATTTGGTAAGAAATTTTAGGACATTAGGAAGTCTAGTTCCTAAGACCGCACAGCTTGGAGACAGAGGAAGGCTCTGTTCCCAAGACTGTGGAGAATCAGAGAGATGACCTTGAAGCAGGGATGGGCTTCAAAAATTTTAGCAAGGGGTTCTCTGCCTGGTTGCTGGGTAGGTGTGGCCATGGTGGGCATGGCCTAGTCGGCCTCCTGCACCATGGCAGGGGGGCACTTTTGCCCTCCCTGGGCTCCAGAGCCTTTCCTCGAGCCTCCGGGAGGGTGAAAACTGCCTCCCCAGGCTTCGGAGGCCCTCTGGAGGCCAAAAATGGGCCTACCGGAAGTTCAGGAAGGCTGGAAATGGGTCCATTTCTGGCCTTCCCAAACTTCCAGTAGGCCCGTTTTTCACCCTCCCTGAGCCTCCATGCGCACCCTGCACTTACCTGCATCCAAAACGGGCCACATGGGGACTCCTGGGAGGGGCGGGGTGGGCGGGGCCAGCCAGAAGTGGGATTTGGGGGTTCTCCAAACTGCACAGAATCTTAGCTAGAGGTTCTTCTGAACCCCTGCGAACCCCCAGCAGCCCACCCCTGCTTTGAAGGAAACAGATAGGAATCATTATAGATAGTCCTTGTTTTACAACCATCCATTAGGGGACCTTTCCAAGTGACGTGGGCACTGAAGAAAGTGACTTAGAAGTGATCCTCACACTTAACAACCATCATGGTTTCCCCACGATCACAGAATCAAAATCTTGGCACTTGGCAACTGGGATGTATTTTAGGACAACTGCAACACCTCAATATCATGTGATCGCCGTATGCGATCTTCCCAGTTGGCTTCTGACAAGCAAAATCAATGAGGGGGGGAGCCAGTTTTGCTTAACGACTGTGTGATTCACTTAACAACTGCAGGGATTTGCTTAACAACTGTTGCAAAAAAAAAAAAGGCTGGTCATAAAATTGGGCGTGACTCACTTATGCATAGCAATGGAAATTCTGGTCCCAATTGTTAGTTGTAAATCAAGGGCTACCAGTAACTGAATCTTGCAAGCTTGAAACGACCTCTCTCCTCCTTACATTTACTCTCCCAAAAACCAGGAAGAGTCTTTTCTGAGATTTTTTTATCCTCTTTGCCCTTCCTTAGGAGTCATATTTCATTTATCAGACCATTGTTTAGCAATAACAATAGCATTTAGAGTTATATACCTCTCCATAGTGTTTTATAGCACTCTCTGAGCAATTTATAATATCAGCATTGTCCCCAACAATCTGGGTCCTCGTTTTACCAACCTCAGAAGGATGGAAGGCTGAGTCAACCTCGAGCCTATCAGGATCGAACTCCAGGCTACTGGCAGAATTATCCTGCAATTTAACCACTGCACCACCAGAGCTCTTATTATCTAGGCCAGGGGTCTGCAACCTTAACCACTCAAAGAGCCATTTGGACCCGTTTCCCACAGAAAAGAAAACACCGGGAGCCACAAAATCCTTCCCGTGCCTGACTATTTCTTGAGCGGCCACAAAACTAGCATATGTAGTTGAATTAAACATTCTGTTTTCTTCTGAAACTTTTCCTTTCTTGGATTTATCCATGGTTGGCCTACCGGGAGTTGAAAAGCTCAATAAATTGCGTGCCGGCGGGTGTTACACATTGGTAGTTGTGACGCCTCTTTTGAGTGACAGGGAGCTGCAGCAGAGGGGTGAAAGAGCCGCAGGTGTCTGATCCCTGGTCTGGGCTGTGGATTTTCCTTCTACTTTTCAAGGTAATTCCCACATATCCTTACACGCACCTGATGGAGTTCCTTACCTATGGAAGATTCTGAAGTTGAGTCTTTCTTGGCATTCAACAGGAATTGCATGCTTTGGATTCCATAAGAATTGCTCCCCATGCAGATAATATTATGAGCTCTATCCAGGCTGCCAGTCCAGTTTAAGGTACTGGTGACCTCATTCATCTTGACTGAAACTTCGACTGTCCAGTTTCCTCTTCTCCTGCTCTCCTCGGTTATCCTCTCCCCATCTACCTCCCACTCGATCTGGGGAAGTGGCTTAGCATGCAAGGTACAAGTACACAGGAAACCATTGTCATGATAATAACACGTTGTATTTTTCTGGGGGTTTCCACTGAGCTTTGGGGCATCTGGAAAAGAGCAAAAGAGCCATGTCATTCAAACCTTAAGACTGTTGTGACTTAGGCCCAAGTAGTTATTACCAGACACAATCAGTCTTAAACAAACATATTTTATTAGAGCAGCTGAGAATTACTTCATTCTCAGCTTAGTCCAAATTAAGTCCAACACAAATTCTTCGTAAACAGTCCTTCGGCCTTATCACCAACCTTTGTCTTCTTTGGCACCCTGCCAAAGGCTTTTCTTGGCAAAAGTTCAGAAGCAAGAGATGCTGACAAGAAACAAATGTAGCAACGTTGCTTTCCTACAAAGATCCCAAGAGCCGTTGCTGCTCTTTTAAGCCTTCTGGGAGAGGCCAATCATCTCCTGGCCTTACTCCTGAGTCGTCCTTTTTGCTTTAGCTGCTCTTGCCTTCTGGCAGCTCTTTCGCATGCGTGCACTAGGAACAGGCTCCTCCTGTTCCTCTGCCTCTCTGCTATCCGCCTCTGGAGGCTCCGGAGTCCATGCATCGCTCCCAGGTGGCCCTGGCCCCATCTCTGCCTCTGATGCAGAGCCCTCGTCGGGGCCTTCCCCTGACTCCAGGACTGGCCCATTGTCCTCCCCAGCCTCCTCACTGTCCGACTCAGCAGCTCCACAGACTGCTGGCAGACCTCAGCAAAGACTTTGTAGCAGATTTGCAAGACTTTGGCATCTCGGCATGAAAAGGAAAACGGTGACACATTTTTTTCCAAACGTAGGAAAAATGGACTGTCATGGTGACAAAAGTATCACTGATAAGAGTCTCAGTGTTCTATAATAGGCCTTCAACCCTCATCTCGCCTCCCTCGTTATGAATGTCCTACTTGGCTTGTGGTAGCAAGGAATCTCTCTTCAATTCTCTCTCTCTTCAGCTCAACTGAATCTAGACTGGTTTTCTGCCAAGGATAAGAAATATCCTATAGCTCAAGCAATCTACAGCTTTAATATCTTCCTTCTGGAACTGTGATGGTGAATCTATGGTACGTGTGCCAGAGGTGGCACGCAGAGCCCTTTCTGTGGGCATGCGCACCGTCGCCAGCTGCTCTTCTGGTTTCTGGCACGCATCTCTGTGGGCACGCGTGTTGGCCAGCTGGTCTTCGTGGGCACCGAAGCACCAGAAAACAGCCTGAAAACAGCCTGAAAAATGGCCAAAAACCAGTCATGCATATGCCAGCCAACTGATCTTTGGGTTTTTAATGCTCCGGCGTGCACGAAGACCAGTTTGCCACCAGCACACATGCGCTTGCTGGAAACCTGAAGACACTCGGTGCCAAAAAGGTTCACCATCACTGCTCTAGAAGGAAGTGCCTTCTAGAGGATTATGGTTCACTCACATGTCACATAGAGCCGGAAGGTTCCCTCAACATCGCCAAGCTCATGTTTAGCTTTGCACACATAGACACCCTCATCTTCAACTGTCAGATTGGTCAGTCTCAATTGGTTATCTGGAGGCTTCTGCAAGCGACCGTCCCTTTTCGCCCAACTTGTTGTGGCTGGAGGATTGCTATCTGCTTTGCAGAGCAGCTCCAATGAGTCACCTACTTCGGCTGTCCAGTTAGACACACTGGACAGCTCCTTGGAGCAACCTGAAACCAGAGAAAAGCATCCATCATTTCCATGAAAGAGCCTTGGTCAAGCCAGCAGGTGGCATCCTTCAGAAAAGTGAGGAATCCTGCTCGTAGTTGCACCCTAATGTACCTTGAGTGAGTATGGAGCCTCTTCTGTGAGTTTGGGTGGTGTTGAAAACCAGCATCCTTGGGCGATCTGGGGGGGAAAAAAAACAACCATATCAAACTTCATGAGAGAAAAGCTTTTGTGGAGGGTAAGACCTCTGGCCTGCAAGACAGAGCCTCTTAAAGATTGCTTCGGAGTTTATGGTCAGTAGATGACACGTGTGATGAAATGAGGGGTCTCACTTTCTCTTACCAAAAGGTGAAGAGCTGAATTTTCATGGCTTTTCTAAAGAACTCCAGAATGAGGAGTCGGAAGTTCGAAATAAAGGATTCAAACTGTGTGAATTCTGTACTTTTCTACACAGGGGTCTAGGACAGGGGTCAGCAACCTGTGGCTCTGGAGCCACATGTGGCTCTTTCATCCCTATGCTGCGGCTCCCTGTTGCTGGTCGGCTCCACATTTGATAGGGATTTCGGTTAGGACAGGTAGAGGAAAAAGGATGCCGTGCTAGGAGGAGACTCTATGGTGGGGGAACCAACTTCCAGTCAGCAGAGGAAAAAGGACGCCATGCTAGGAGGAGACTCTATGATGTGGGAACTGGACTTCCAGTCGGCTCCAGAATTGAACAGGGGCTTCCGGTTAGGACCTTTGTGGTTCTTTGAGTGTTTAAGGTTGCCAACCCCTGGTCTAGGACAATTGGCCATGGCCAACAATTGGTCATGGCGACCTTGTTGCAGACACTTCACCAAGGTGGCAGGATCGCACTGGGTCAGCTGGAATGGGGGGTGGCAGTGAAGTGGCCACGACAATGTGGCCGTGGCCAGTTGTCCCATTCCATCAGCCCAGCACCCCGACGACAAAATACCCATTTCTGAGTTACTGACTATATTTCCTGCATCCTTCATTGTAAACATTTCCTGAATGGGACATCATGTATTCCTTTCATATCGTTATTTGCCTCGTTGTTTGCAGGAGGGAAGTGAGGAAAGAGAATGAAGTAGAATAATTTCTAATTTAAACTTCCTTTTGGCATTCTGAGAATCTATATTTCTTTTTTTTTTTTTTTAGAAGTAAAAAAGTGGCAACTCATAGAGGAAACAAGCCGATTATCAGATTTTGTGTTCTTACAGCAATTCTACAGATGCAGCTGTACAACCTACAGCATTTCAATACAATTTTTTACTGAGGAAGAAATTCTTATCTGCTTTGGGGGGGGAGGGGGGAAATAATCTTCATTTTCCCCTGAGGCAGCCTTTTCTAATCTTGTATCTTCCCCCAATACTTTGAGTTATAATTTCCATCACCCCCAGCCTTCAAAATAGAATAGAATAGATTGGTATATAGATATCTCTCCAAAGTAAAGCGGACCAAAAACTGAAAGAAAAGGGTTTGAAGGCAGCAGAGCAGAAAAATGTATTGTGCAAACGGGTCCAGCTTTCCTTGCTCAACTTTTATTTTAGGAAATAAGACACCACGCCCATATTCCTTTCCACAGTTTATACAATCGTTGCATCCCCTCAAAAGTGTGTAGCCTGTTCTTTTGTGATAAAAGGGAGATGCAACTGAAATGTTTTTAAGAAAGGGAAAATGTAGTTTGAGCACTGATGCTTATGGCAACTTTCTTAGAATTCCTTATTAAAGGTAAAAGTAAAGGTTCCCCTCACACATATGTGCTAGTCGTTCCCGACTCTAGGGGGAGGTGCTCATCTCCGTTTCAAAGCCAAAGAGCCAGCGCTGTCTGAAGACATCTCCGTGGTCATGTGGCCAGCAGGACTAAACGCCAAAGGCGCATGGAACACTGCTACCTTCCCATCAAAGGTGGCCCTATTTTTTTTTACCTTTAAAAGCGTTTTTTCTACAACCTCTTCAGCCGAAAAAATGCTTTTATGCTCTGGCGATCCCAGCTGAGTTGCCTGATCGTCAGAGGCTTCTAAAAGAATTTTTTTCTGCAACCTCTTAAGGTTGTAGAAAAAAAATGCTTTTAAAAGTAAAAAAAAAAAAAAACGTTGGCCACGCTCACCCAGTCACATTAACCCCCCCAAGCCACACCCACAAAATAAGCCACGCCAACAGAACCGGTAGTAAAAAAATTTAGAACCCATCCCTGCCGCAGTGCCTCTGCCAGAGAAAATGGAGCTCCATTTTCGCTGGCAAAGGGTTGCAGGAGGCCATCACACCTGGAAATGGAGCTCAGGAGCCTGTTTTCACTGGTAGAGCACTCAGACCATCACAGGTGCCCCCGACACAAGTGACATTGAGCTGGCCATGCCTCCCTGGCCACACACACCCAAGGTCAAACACAACCCTGATGTGACCCTCAATGAAATCGAGTTCGACACCCCGACCTAGATGAGCAGTAGGCATTCACATCCACACACATTTGTGGAGACCTCCATTAGCGGAAGATTCACCTGGGTAAGGATGTATTGACCATGTGCTGCTGCACCACATGAAATGGGAATGTTTGCTGGATGACTGTAAGTCAAGCTAAAGTGGATGAGTGTTTTCAGCTGCATAACCCAACAAGTAGTAAATCTTACACTGGACAATCAGTTCAACCATCTTCTTGATGGTTGATCTGTTCTGATGATTTGCCAGGCACTGGTATTTTCCAGCATCCTCTGGTCCAATTTCACGCAGCTGAAGGTAAGGCGTGGGTTCACCAATTTTCTGGTTGTCCTTCATCCAGGATAGGTTGGGCGCTGGTCTACCATCAGCAGCACACATCAGGTTGACAGTGTTTCCTTCCTTGGCTATCACAGGGTTGAGTTCCTCTTTCCTTTCCTTTCCTGAGCCTGCAAGCATTTAGGAGCATCAGTCAGGGAATGAAAGACAAAAAGGACAAGTACAAAAAATGGAAAGAGGGTCACATAAGTAAGGCAGGATATCAGCAGACCGCCAGAATCTGCAAAGATGAAGTCAAGAAAGCAAAGGCTCAGAATGAATGTAGACTTGCAACAAAAGTCAAAGATAACAAAAAAAAAAAAAAGTTTCTTCCAACATATAAATAACAAGAAAAAAATCAAGGAAACAGTCAGTCCACTAAAGAGAGAAGATGGCAAGGAAGTAACAGACAGCAGAGAGAAAGCAGAGCTGCTTAACTCATTCTTTGCATCGGTCTTCACGCAAAAAGAAACTATAGCCCAACCTACCAGAAACATAACTGTATGTTATGGAAATAAAAGTTAAAATAAGCAAACAAAATAGTAAGAGAACACCTGTCTGATCTTGATGAATACAAATCACCAGGACCTGATGGATTACATCCCAGGGTTCTAAAGGAACTGGCAGATGTCATCTCAGAACCATTGCACCACATCTTTCAAAAATCCTGGAATAGTGGGGAACTACTAGAGGACTGGAAAAGAGCTGATGTGGTTCCCATCTTCAAAAAAGAAAAAAAAAACAGACCCAGGAAACTACAGACCAATCAGCCTAACATCAATACTCAGGAAGATAGTGGAAAAGATCATAAAAAAACAGATCTGCCAACACCTAGAAATGAGTAAAGTAATAACTAGCAGTCAGCACGGGTTTGTTAAAAACAGATCATGCCAAACCAATCTTATTTCATTCTTCAGCATAGTGACTAAATTAGTAGACCAGCGAAATACTGTGGACATAATATACTTAGACTTAAGCAAGGCATTCGACAAAGTAGACCACAACCTACTTCTTCATAAGCTAGAAAAAAGTGGGATAGATAGCTTCACCACCAGATGGATTCTCAACTGGATGACAAATCATACTCAACAAGTAGTCGTTAATGGGTCTAAGTCTACATGGAGAGAAATAAGCAGTTGGGATGCTACAAGATTGCGTCTTAGGCCTAGTACTCTTACCTACACTTAGGTAAGAAAAACCAAAAGCACACATATAAACTGGGGGAAACCAGGCTTAATAGCAGTAACAGTGAGAGGGATCTTGAAGTCTTAGTGGACAACTAGCTAAATATGAGCCAGCAGTGTGCAACGGCAGCTAAAAAAACTAATGCAATCCTAAATTGCATTAACAGAGGGATACAATCAAGATCAAGTGAGGTACTAATACCACTCTATAAAGCCCTAGTAAGACCACACCTAGAGTACTGCATCCAGTTTTGGTCGCCACACTATAAAAAAGATGTTGAGACTCTAGAAAAAGTGCAGAAGAGAGCAACCAGGATGATTAGGGGACTGGAGACTAAAACATATGAAGAAGGGTTCTAGGAACTGGGCATGGCTAGTCTAGTGAAGAGAAGGACCAGAGGAGATATGATAGCCGTCTTCCAATACTTGAGGAGCTGCCACAGAAAGGAGGTCAAGCTGTTTTCCAAAGCACGTGAAGGCCAGACAAGGAATAATGGATGAAAACTGACCAAGGAGAGATTCAACCTAGAAATGAGGAGGAACTTTCTGACAGTGAGAAAGTTCTCACTGGTCCTTCTCTTCACTAGACTAGCCATGCCCAGTTCCTAGAACCCTTCTTCATATGTTTTAGTCTCCAGTCCCCTAATCATCCTGGTTGCTCTCTTCTGCACTTTTTCTAGAGTCTCAACATCTTTTTTATAGTGTGGCGACCAAAACTGGATGCAGTACTCTAGGTGTGGTCTTACTACAATGGAAGTTGTAGGAGCTTCATCACTTGAGACTTTCAAGAAAAGATTGGACTGCCATTTGTCAAAATTCTTGTAGGGTCTCCTGCTTGAGCAGGGGATTGGACTCCAAGGTCCCTTCCAACTGTGTTACTGTTACTTCTGTTAATCTGTTAAATATGTTAAAACTACCCAAAACTGCAAATTGGAAGCCCCCTCCCCAGATTTGGCATAATTTCAGAAAACCAAGATAATTGAATATTTGGTTGTTTGGTTTCATTCATGAAATATATACCATATTTTTCAGACTATAAGACGCACCTACCTTTTTTGGTGAGGAAAAGAAGAAAAAGAAATCTCCCTCTGCCTTTGCCTCTGAGCAATTTTGCCTCATTGCAGCAAACAGCAAACAGCCTGCTTTACTTTCATTTTCGTTTTCACATAGCTTGATTAGCACAAGGGGAAAAAAATCTGCTCCAGCAATTTTCTTCCTTGCAGCAAGCAGCAGAGGCTTGCGCAAAACAGCTGAGAGTCAGGAGGCCGATCCAATCAATTTGTGCTAATTAGACTGTGCTGAAGCTGAAAGGAGCTGTTTTTTCCTGCTGCTTGCTGCAAGGAGGTAAACTGCTGGGAGGCAGAGGCCAAAGGGTGGGGGCCAGTGGGTGGGCAGGGCTACATTCGGTGTATAAGACGCCTAAATTTTCACCCCCTTTTAGGGAGGGAAAAGGTGCATCTTATACTCCGAAAAATACGGTAATGCAAATGACTTCGACCTTGTAAAATGGGGGGAAGAGATGCTGCTTATGGAAGGATCAGATAAAAGGGGAGAAGGTTTGAAGCCTGCAAGAACATTTGGGAACAGAGCAGAGAATCGGCCCTCTGTACTGTGCCTGAAGGGCTCTGCAAAAACTTTCATGGTTTGAAATCTCACCGGAGTATCCTGCGCCTTCAATGTTCACTGTGATAGTGACTTTCTGGAGTGGTTCTGAAACACAAGAAAAGGAAAAGTGAATGTTCCAAGACGGTATATAGGGTCAGCAAGCTCATAGAAGACAGGGTCAGCTGTCGCAACTTGGCCACTTAGAAAAGAAAGACCCTCGACTCCATCCGTAGTGAAAGTACATTTTACTAAAGCCAAGCTGTTACAACGTAGCAAAGCCGAATCTGATTTTTCATGCCCGAAGCATCTGGTTAACTCTTCCCTTCTCCCCACCTTCCCCCTTAGTTATCTCCCCATCAGGGGTGAAATCCAGCAGGTTCTGACCAGGGGTGGGTTCTAAAAATTTTTACTACCAGTTCTGTGGGCGTGGCTTATTTTGTGGGCATGGCTTGATGGTCATATGACAACAATTCTTTAGGATTTAGCAGAGGTACTGGTCTACCAGGCTTTTAACTGCTTGCAGAGACGTACTGGTCTACCCATTTGTTTTTGGAGCACACTGCCTTTTACCGCTGATCAGCTGTAGGGCGGTCCTTTGAAGTGCCGCGGCAAGAGTTTCAACAGTTTTTGCCGCTCTGCCACCACAGAGAGCATCGGAAACCGCTTTCAGGCAGCTTGGCCTCAATTGCCAATCTACCACCACCGAGCGATTTACAAGGAGCAGATCGGTTCTAGTCGATCGGTTAGGAGGCTTCTTGGCTTCTCAATTTAAAGCTAAGGTGCCTTGTTTTTTTTTTCTCTTCTTTGTCAAGTGAGCCCTGAATTTTTCCTTCTAGCCGATCAGCTGGGACTCGGGAGGCAGCAAATAGATTGGGGTCAGGGTCAGGCAGAGGTGTTATTTACCAGTTCTCCAAACTGTTCAAAATTTCCACTACCGGTTCGCAAGAACCGGGGAGAACCGGTAGCAACCCACCACTGGGCTGTAACCCAGAATATCTGGAAGGCACCAGGTAACATATCTCTCTTTTTAAACCAGGAGTCTCCAACCCTGGCAACTTTAAAACCTGTAGATTTCAACTCCCAGAATTCCCCAGCCAGCTGGCTGGGGAATTCTGGGAGTTGAAGTCCACAGATTTTAAATTTGCCAGGATTGGAGACCTCTGCTTTAAAAGCATGAGAAGAGACCACAACAACAGATTGCGATTCGGTTCTTAATGTTGGCAGAATATAACCTAATTTATTTCCTCTGCTGAATCAACATCAGGGGTGTAATGTAAAATTTGTTACTACTGGTTCTGTGGGCGTGGCTTCGTGGTGGTGGGGTAATGTGACTGGGTGGGCGTGGCCAACTTTTTTTTTTAAACTTTTTAAAGCATTTTTTCTAATGCTTTGAAAAGCCTCTGACAATCAGGCAACTCAGCTGGGATCGTCAGAGACTTTTCAAAGCATTTTTTTTACCACCTCTTCGGCCAAGAGGTTGCAGAAAAAAATGCTTTGAAAAGCCTCTGACGATCCCAGCTGAGCCGCGCGATCATCAGGAGGCTTTTTTTTTTTTTTACTTTTAAAAGCATTTTTTCGTTGGAAGAGGTTATAGAAAAAATGCTTTTAAAAGTTTTTTTTTTTTAAAAAAAAAGCCTCTGATGATCATGCTACTCAGCTGAGCATGTGGGGGGGGCAGGGATTTTTGCTACTGGTTCTCCGAACCACCCACCGCCATCGCTACCAGATCAGGTGATCCGGTCCGAACCGGGAGCATTTCAATCCTGGTCAACATTGGAAGATGGAAGGAGAGGGAGCAGTTGTTTGCTCATCGTTGTAGTTGCAGGCCTCCAAAAGAGTGGAGGAGGGGAAGAAAGAAAGTCCAAAAAAAAAAGGGCAAAATGGCGGGCACCGGAGGTGACCGAAGGCTCACCTTTTTGATAACATGTAACTGCACTTTAAAACAAGATGAGGCTTCAGTCACATAGTCACAGAGGCAACCTTGGTTTTTTCACCCAACACATAGATACCTCCAAATAGCTGTTCTCCTTTTCTGATCTCTTCACAATATAAAAGAGACCAAAACAGCAAAACGAATAACTCATCCAACAACAGAAAACTACTTACCTATCACATGAACACGAGGTAAAGTATGCTCCATTTCTGGGAGAAAAGAATATTTTAATTGTCTGCTTCCCTCAATTCTCAAGTAGTATCGCCCTTCGTCTTCTATGCGAGCATCCGTGATGACAAGTGAGCAATCTCCTTGATCTGGAACTCCTAATAAATAGAAGCGATCCTTGGCTGAATGTTGGACTGTCTGATATTGGTAGTTGGTAACTACAGGCTTGCAGACTTCATAATGCAAATAACAGGGGGAAGAATATGGCGGATACTTAAACCAATAAGCAAATATCTTTTCATTTCTCGACAGGTCTCCCTGGTTATAAGTGAACCGGCATGGAATATGAAGAGCGAGACCACGCTGTACGGAGAAAGAAGAATCCACGGTGATACTATACCTCCATGCTTTTTGAGTTCTGATTCCTGATCCAAGAAAAACAAAACAAAATTGGTTACAGACAAAACCTAAATGAAAACACTGGAAAACCCCCTAAGGTTTCTTGCAGGACCAGCTCATAAAACGGAGAACACAACAAATTGTCAACTCGTCCAAAAGATGAGACCATCTGCGCCCCCTCTCCACCATAACAAGAGATTGAAAGAAAAGATGTTGTTCAGCAGTTTAGGGTTCTCTATATTGTGGCATTATCTGGCTATATTGGTGAACAACAACAACTGTTGAGAAGCCACCGTGTAGTTTTGGTATTTGGAAATGGTATGGAACAAAAAGGCAGCAATTCTCTATTATTAATCCAGGTTTAGGGTTTGCCGTGTTATGTCCAATACAGCCAAAGTATCCAAGACAATAATAGCAATAGCTCTTAGACTTATATACCGTTTCACAGAGCTTTACAGCCTTCTCTAAGCGGTTTACAGAGTCCGCATATTGCCCACAACTATCTGGGTCCTCATTTTACCAACCTCGGAAAAGATGGAAGGCTGAGTCAACCTTCAGCCAGTTAGAATCGAACTCCTGATTGTGGGCAGGGTCAGTCTGCAACACTGCATTCTAACCACTGCGCCACCATTGCAGTATAAATAATAGATGTAACTCTACAATGAAATGATTCTCTGTGGTTTAAGAAAATGCAAGGAAAAAAAAATCATAATTGGACACTTATAACTCATAACTTATAATTCACTCATAAAAAGTGAATTTTGCCAAATGGTTAAACCATCTCAGTTGGAAAGGACAGAGTGAATCAAGAGATGTGTAAAGACTGCAGCCAAAATGTAACCAACCTCCAGTTGTTGGAAACTTATCTAAGAATTTTCTGGATCTCTCACTACCTTTATTTATAAACCATCTTCTGATCTCCCTGTCTGGGAATAACCAATACAATGTTCTATATCAGGGGTGTCAAATGCATCCGGCCCACGGGGGTGCTTAGATCTGGCCTGCGGGGCTACCCAATCTCCATTTTTCGCTGGCAGAGGGTTGCAGGAGGCCGTCGCAGCCTGAAAACGGAGCTCAGGAGCCCATTTTTTGCTGGCAGAGGGTTGCAGGAGGCCGTCGCAGCCGAAAACGAAGCTCAGGAGCCTGTTTTTTCACTGGCAGAGGGTTGCAGGAGGCCGTCGTGGCCAAAAACGGAGCTCAGGAGCCTGTTTTTCACTGGCAGAGGGTTGCAGGAGGCCGTTGCAGCTGAAAACGGAGCTCAGGAGCTTGTTTTTCGCTGGCAGAGGGTTGCAGGAGGCCGTTGTGGCCGAAAAACGGAGCTCAGGAGCCCATTTTTTGCTGGCAGAGGGTTGCAGGAGGCCGTCGCAGCCGAAAACAAGCTCAGGAGCCTGTTTTTCACTGGCAGAGGGTTGCAGGAGGCCGTCGTGGCCAAAAACGGAGCTCAGGAGCCTGTTTTTCACTGGCAGAGGGTTGCAGGAGGCCGTTGCAGCTGAAAACGGAGCTCAGGAGCTTGTTTTTCGCTGGCAGAGGGTTGCAGGAGGCCGTTGTGGCCGAAAACGGAGCTCAGGAGCTCATTTTTTGCTGGCAGAGGGTTGCAGGAGGCCATCGCAGCTGAAAACGGATCTCGGGTGCTTGTTTTCACTGGCAGAGCGCTCAGGCCACCACAGGCGCCTCGACACAAGTGATGTCGAGCTGGCCACACCCACCCTGGCCACACACACATCCACCCCCCACCCCAAGGTCAAACACAACCCTGATGCGGCCCTCAATGAAATCGAGTTTGACACCCCTGTTCTATATCTATGCCTTGGTTACACAGTTGAGGTTCTGTCTACAGTATTGCTAGTTTCTCATTCTACCTTATAGCCCTAGTATTCTCTGGCGGTATCTCATCCGAGTCCTAACCAAAGCTGATCGTTCTTAGCTTCTCAAAACAAACAAGTTGCTCCTGATCAACTTAGGCATTTGTAAATAAACCAAATTTCATAGAAACATCACAACTCTCCAGTGCAACAGTGGAGACCACTGCTCCAAAGGAAACTGAAATCAGAGTAGAACAACCTTCTGTCCGCCAGGAGCCTGGATAGCTCAACAGACAGAAGCACTGTAATTTAACACCAGCTGTCTGCAATTAAAGTAAGATTGAATCTCGCCAGGCTCAAGGTTGACTCAGTCTTTCATCCTTTCTAAGGTAGGTAAATTGAGGACCCAGTTTGTGGGGGCAATAAGCTGATTTTGTATAAATATACAAAAGTATGAAGGCTATTGCTTAATGCACTGTAAGCCGCCCTGAGTCTCTGGAGAAGGGTGGCATATAAATCAAATAAATAAATTTAAAAAAAGATATGTTGAACCCTATCCCTCCCAATGTCAACTGGACAATAATATTTAATTCCATATTTTTTTTTCTTCTTTTACTACATTGCACTTACCTTTGCAGAGAATGGTCAAGATTGCTGCCAAAGAAAGAAACAGTTTATTTCTCTTACAAGGAAGAAGCCTTATCCGATCAGTGCTCTCATTTTCTGGCATCTTGTTTTATCTTGATATTTCTTTGGAAGAAGGAGCTCTGTAGCAGGAAGAGAAGCAGTGTGAGCTGGTGTACTTACAAGAAGCAAAAAAAAAAAAATGTTTGCAACCTGTCACAGAGATCCCTTTGAAGCATAAGTGGATCCAACGTGTTGGGGTGGAAGGTAGAACTTGTTTCAATTATCTTAAGCAAGACCATCTCCTTACCAGAATGGATTAGCCATGCAAAGTTAACAGGATTCCCCTGAAATATTTTGGCAGTAAGATTGGATGAGTTAAGGCGGGGGGTGGGGGGGTGAGGGTCAAACTCGATTTTATTGAGGGCCACATCAGGCTTGTGTTTGAGCTTGGGGGGGCAGGGTGGGGGAGGCCAGGGTGGTCGAGGCCAGTTTGATGTTACTCATATCAGGTGCCTGAGCGTTCTGTCAGCGAAAACGGACTCCCGAGCTCTGTTTTCAGCCGCGACAGCCTCCTGCTGCCCTCTGCCAGTGAAAACAGAGCTCTCTCTCACACACACACATACATTCACACATGAGTTCCGTTTTCACTGGCAGAGGGCAACAGGAGGCCATTGCGGCTGAAAACGGAGCCTGGGAGGGATGCACACGGCCCTCCCGAGCTCCATTTTTTCTGGCAGAAGCACTGTGGGCCAGTCCTTTGCTGTTTCTAGGGTGGCCCCATGGACCAGATCTAAGCACCCCACAGGCCGGATCGGGTCCCCGGGCCTCGACTTTGACACCTCTGAGTTAAAGAGTGACTCTCTGTTTGATTCCCATCTGAGCAATCCCAAGAGTTACAATTATTAACCTTGATCGTGATTATTTGTCATAATTCCGACATTTTTGTCTTTTGACAACATCCAAGCTTGTTCCGCATGATATTTTTGGCATGCCTGGATACAAGTCTCTGGTCTAGAGAAGAAGTGATATGTTCTTTTCTCTTTTTTTTTCCAACTTAAGAAAAGATCTTACTGTAATTTAGTCAGTTAGGAAAGGGGAAAGTATCTCATGGGAACCGAAATTACTATTAATTACTTTGAAATGTTAGTTTTTAGGGTCAGGGGGGAAAAAAATTCTGAGGAAAAGTAAAATAGACAGTGCACTTTCAGTTTGGTTTCCCACTTCCTCTTAGCCAGTTTCTTACATTCTTCAAAACAATTCCCCCAAAGAGGAAGCATAAAATTGGCTTGAGTCAGTTGGTTTGCTTCAACAAAACAAACTCTCAAGTTATTTTCTAAATTAGTTATATAGTGCTGCACTGAAACTATCTCCGGCTGTTTTTTCAACGATCTCTTCCAATTTGATGAAAGAACTACTTTTCCATGTTTTCGATGTTCTGTGTTTGCTCAAAGGAGTACGTTTGGGTGAACGTCTACTAGGTAAGGTGCACCATCTTCCACTGATATCGATGTGTGGGGTGGTTGGAAGGTATGTGAGTATCCTGTTTGTCATTGCACAGTCTTTTTCCCAGGGAACGTGAGATGGTACACTTCACTTAACAACCGTGTTACTAACTGAACAACTGCAGTTATTCACTTCACAACTGTGGCAAGAAAAATCATAAAATGGGCCAAAGCTCACTTAGTAACTGTCACGCTTAACAACAGATATTTTGGGCTCAATTTGTGGTCGTACATCAAGGACATGATAGCAGTGTTCCAATATTTGAAAGGCTGCCACAGAGAGGAAGGGGTCAAGCTATTTTCCAAGGCACCCGAAGGCCAGATAAGGAATAATGGATGGAAACTGGTCAAGGAGAGATTCAACCTGGAAACAAGGAGAAATTTTCTGACAGTGAGAACAATCAACCCATGGAACAGAAGTTGCCTTCGGAAGTTGTCGAAGCTTCATCACTGGAAGCTTTCGAGAAGAGATTGGACTACCATCTGTCAAAAATGGTGTAGGGTCTCCTGCTTGGGTAGGGGGTTGGATTAGATGATGTATAAGGTCCCTTCCAACTCTGTTAATCTGTATCTGTATCTGAGATTCACATTCTTAGTAGCTGATTTTCCTGTGTAGTAAGTTAGGAGAACTTACTTGTTCCTACAGTAGCCATGAGGAATAGATTAAGAACCTGGGAAATGTTGATTATTAAAAAAGGAAAACAATCCAATTGCTGTGATTTCCATAACTTCATCCTATCCTCTTCCGATAGCCTCCTGGTAAGGAAACTCTGAAAGAATCTTTCTTTGAAGGCCAGGCAGCCTTCAAGAACTTCAGATCTGATGTCTCTTGACCTTCTCGCTAAATCTAAGACAGAGATGTAGGATCTGAAGCTTCATGACGATCTACTGTGCGTCAGAGAATTCCCAAAAGTTGTTAGAGAAGAACAGAATCTATGAACTTCCGATAAGTAATTATAGAAAAACTAGGAAGCCATTAAGAAAGAATTCTAGAATGGCTGGGTATCAAAAGCAAATCTTACCGGTATATCTAGTGGGGGTATAGTAGTCATATTTCTGTGTCTCTTTCTCCAGCTTGAGCTACGTAGTAGTAGCTTGGACAGATTCCCTTTTGGGTGTAAGGCTAGTTACTCTCTGTCCTTCATGTTAGCAATGGATTGTGTTGATGGTTGGCTGCTTTCCTCTTAATGTAGGAGAACTAACTTTGACATGTCCTAAAGGAAGAAGAAATTCTTCCCATGGATTTCTTGTGCCCTTATCGCAATTACAAGATGAGAGAGACTTGTGTGAATGTTGTTCCATTTTGTAGCTAGACTTCAGCTTCCTGGCACTTTGGTTCAGTCCCCAAGGAAGAAGTTAACAAAGGAATTTCTCCATGGACCATTTTCAGATTAGGAAGCCAAAATAAGACAGAAAACATCCGGAGTAAAGACACAGATAATAGAATGCAGCAACATTTGCATGCTCTTTAGCCTTGCAACAGTAAACACCAGAAAAATAACTCATTTGGGGGGGACGGGGACATGGAAAGCATCCTTAGAACAATGTAGAAGAATCAAAGACTCCTTGCATGGTGAAGGAAAACATTAGAGGAATGAGAAGACAATTGCCACAGCCATGTTCTTTTTATGCATGACCCTGTGATTCAGCAATCCTGACTTCTAGTTCAAAGTGGAGTTAACATCCAAATTTAGTTCTGGTTTACGAAAGAAAGCATCTAAAACCCAGTTTTGAGAGACAGTTTGGTGTAGTGGTTTAAGGCATCAGGCCAGAAACTGTCAGTTCTAGACCTGTCTTAACCAAAAAGGCAAGTGACTTTCTCTTCGTTCTGGGAAAAAGGAAAGGACAAACCACTTCTAAAAAATCTTGTCAAGAAAACTACAGGGACTAGCGCAAGCAGTCACCAGGAGACAACAATACTCAAAAGCTTCCATATGTGTGCACACATGCACACACAAACCCAATTTTTGATCTAACACGAGTGTCGGGATTTATGTTCTGAATTAATTTGAGTCAGGAGTTATCCAGAGGATCAGCATTCAAATGAAAATAATACACCATGACGTTCCCTCAGAAAAGTTACTTAAATTCGCCACAAGACTATACCTTGGTTTCTCGCTCCAGATTTCGTCCCTTCTCCGGTGAGATCTTTTTCTCCGTTATATTATGGCTAAATAATCTACTTTCTCTTCCCACCACGACCGGTGCGTTCTGATTCTTCTGTGAGACAAAGACCGTAGAGCTGAACTGTAGGGAGACGTTTTCTGAAATTAAGAGATAGTGGTGTGTAGAAAAAGCAGAAGTATGTGAAAATTACGTGTGCAAGGGAGGGGTATGATATTTTCTCCAGTTACAACATGCCTTCAGAGGTCATTTGGGAGCAAAAAGGTGGAACAGAATTCCACTTGCCTCTTTTATGCTGGTTTGTTTGTTTGTCTGTTTGTTTGTTTGTTTGTTTCCTGCCTTTATTCTTTTTATAAATAACTCAGGCTGGTGATCACCCACAATATTCCTTCCTCCTCCCATTTTCCCCACAAGAACAACTCTGGGAGAGTTGGGCTGAGAGAGAGTGTGTGTGTGACTGGTCCAAGGTAACCCAGCAAAGAAAAATAAAACAATGCTAAAACCAGTTTAACATGTTGTACGAACCAACCATGAGAGTCTTGGATGGAAATTAGCCAAGGAGAGAACCAACTTAGAACTAAGGAGAAATTTCCTGACAGAACAATTAATCAGTGGAACAACTTGCCTCGAAAAGTTGTGGATGCTCAAACACTGGAAGTTTTTAAGAAGATGTTGGGTAGCCATTTGGGTGTAGGATTTCCTGCCTGAGCAGGGGGTTGGATTAGAAGAGCTCCAAGCTCCCTTCCAACTCTGTTATTCTGTTAAATGTCTTGACTTGTTACAGGTATGGACACTGAGCCTAAAGTTGGGGACAAAGTTCTCTCAGGGTTAATTTTGATAACTGCAATCGTTCCACAGAAATTGTACACTGCCAGAAGATTCGTGCGCATTCTCCATGGAGCTACCTGAGCACACGAGAGCGTCTACTCCAAGTTGTACCAATTATCCAAGCACACTGAATTTGGTTAAATGAGCATTTTCTGCCCACCAGGGTTCAGGAACTGTGACACAAAGGGAGAATAAAGCCTTGTACTGCTGTGTCTTCCTTCTACAGGGGATTTTGCCTAACTATTCAGTATGCATGCAGGGGGTTTCCAGAGAGGAGACACGTACAGTAATTCTATTTTGAGAAATTCTGCTGTTCCTCTCAAAGATGCTCTTAGTGCAAAATTACCAGACAGAATATAAAATGGCTGACTAGACACAGATTTTTCTTTCTTGTAAGATGGGTAAGAAATAACTGGTATGAGTGGGGGAGGTTCTCCCCTGGGAGAATAAGACAGAAGAAAGTGGAAATGGTGCTACAGAAGACTGAATTCTTAGTTCTTCAAAATATTTAAGAAGAAGCCACCTCCTAGGAAGAGGTAAGTGCAGTGATGCTGAAAACCAAAAGCAGTCTGTGCATGGGGCTACTTGTGGCTATTCGAATGAATGTTCTCCCTCCGTGTTGTGGAGGGAGACAAGGTTTGTCAGGTGGGACATAAAGTCTTGGAGGTCAGCTGATGATTTGTTCTTAGTGCTTGAGAATTGTCTCGTGCCGATTTCTGTTTGAAATACAGGTTTTATATTTAGTTGCTCAATAGCTTGAGGTCTGGAGAGCTCTCCATACATACATACACTTGTTGTATCTTATGAGTAATGATTGCAACTATGAGCTATGTCTTACCACTTTGTTGCTTGTATGTATAGTGAGAGCTTATGCGCCAGAGACAAATTCCTTGTGTATCCAATCACACTTGGCCAATAAAGAATTATATCCATCCATTCATCCATCCATCTATCTATCTAAGAATAGAATAAAGATAGAATAGATAGAGCCTGAGTGGCGCAGCAGACTAATGCTACTGTTAAAGGTAGTATTTAGCTTCCAGCTGCCTGCAATTACTGCGAGTTCAATTCTCACCAGGCTCAAGGTCGACTCAGCCTTCCATCCTTTCTAAGATAGGTAAAATGAGGACCCGGTTTGTGAGGGGCAATAAGCTGACTTTGTATAAAATATACAAAAGTATGAAGGCTATTGCTTAGCACATTGTAAGCCGCCCTGAGTCTCCGGAGAAGGGCGGCACATAAATCAAAATAAAATATAAATAAATAAATAAATAAAATAAGATAGATTAATGATAGAGATTTCTATCTCTATCATTTATCTATCTATTCTACCTCTACCACAGTCTTCTTGAACCCATCTATCTATCTATCTATCTATCTAATCTAAGAATAGAATAGAGATAGAATAGATAGATAAATGATAGAAATAACAATCTATCATTTATCTATCTATTCTATCACTTCCACCCATCCCCCCCCCCTCTCCCTCTCTCCCCCCCCCCCCCCCCCCCCCCCCCCTCCCTCCCTCCCTCTCTCTCTCTCTCTCTCTCTCTCTCTCTCTCTCTCTTCTATCTATTCTGTCTGTCTGTCTGTCTAGGGATTTATCATGAACCAGAGGACATGTCACCCCACCCCGGAATAAAGTATCATGGCAAGGTGGAGACTAACATTTATTTATTAAGAAAATATATGTGGCTGCAACTCACTCATAGAGACTCCAGGCAGTTTACAGAAATAAAAACACAGGACAAGGGGCAATAAATGTCCATCCTTCTCTGACAACAATCAAACCAACCATTGAATGGGCTCCATATCACCCTGGAGTCCCAAGGCCTGTTGGCAAAACCATGATTTCAAGGCCTTTTGCAAAAGAGTGTCAAAGTAGGAGCCAATCTTATTTCAGCAGGGATGATGTTCCACAGGAAGGGACCCCACCATGGACCCACCACAGTCTTCTTGAACCCATATTAATTTATCAACATGCCATATTAAGTGCCCAGAGAAGAATCAGCTAAAGTGATGTTCTTCCTTTCATCTTCAAAGTATGCCGGAAAAAATAGTTTGCTCCAAAGTTCATTTTCCTTGCAGGTTAGCATCAGAATAAGAATAAGAATAATTTTATTTCTATACCGCCCTTCTCCCGAAGGACTCAGGGCGGTGTACAGCCTATTAAAAGCACAAGACAAACATCAATTAAAATAATTTAAAATTATTAAATAATTCGGCTCAATTTAAAACCCCAGAAATTTAAAACACCCAATTTAAAATTATTATGTTGATAGCCCGGCCTGGCGGAACAACAGGGTCAAAAGGAGACATGTTCTCATTTCTCCCATCAGTTCTGAGATGACCACTCACTGCCGAAGCTCATTAGAGAAATTTTCTTGCATTTTTTTGTTCCCTCCCATCAATTTTTGCTTAGTGGAATGAAAGAGACAAATAAGAGATAACACAAGGATAATAGTAGATATACTGGAATATTATGAATCTATTATCTTTATTGAGTCTGATCCTGAAAATATTGCAACAGCTTTTGACAATCTAAACTGGCAATTCATGATTAGGCAAATTAGACACATGAAACTGGCAAGTAAATTGGAAAATATGATAGCGGCAATACATACGACGCAGAAGGCAAGGGTAATAGTAAACGGGGACACCACCAACACATTTCAGATAACCAAGGGCGTAGGTCAGGGAGCCCACAGTTGCCACTTCTCTTTATTTTAACATTAGAAATTTTACTAAATAGAATGAGAGCAAACTGAGAAATAAAGGGAACGAAAATTAAAAGAGAAGAGTACAAAGCATAGGCCTTCGTGGACAACATGGTATTCATTATTGAGGAACCTCTGGAATCCGGTCCTATTCTAATACGAGAAATAGAAAAATATGGGGAAATATCTGGACTTAAAATTAACAAAGGGAAAACCAAAATGATAGTTAAAAACTTAACAACAAATCAGAAAAAAAGAATTAGAAAAGGAAATGGATTTACAAATTGTAAAAAAAATTAAACACTTAGGGATATGGTTAATGGTGAGATGTATGTCCCTAAAGGAGGATAACTACATGGTATTAGTCCAACAAATAAAGAAGGATCTGGATAAATGGGGGATGCTACAACTATTGCTTTTAAGTAGGATAGTGACTATCAAGATGAATATCCTACTCAAACTATTATATCTATTTCAGACAATTCCCATATCATTAGATAAGAAGTTTTTCGGAGAATTGAACAAAATTACTACAAAATTTGTTTGGTCAGGAAAGAAGGCAAGGATAAAACTACTCTCTCTCCAAGATAGTAGAAGTAGAGGTGGCTTTGGACTCCCGGCGTGGGAATTTTACCACAAGGCAGCAACTCTGGTTTGGATAAGGGATTGGGTGAATTTAAACAATAGAAGAATATTAACACTGGAAGGACACGATCTGCAAAAGGGGTGGCATGCCTTTACGTGGGATAAAAGGAATAGGACACACTCATACTTTTATAGACACAAAATAAGAGATGCATTGTTACAAATTTGGGAGGATATAAGGAAAAAACATTATATGAAAATTCCTGGTTGGTTATCCACTATGGAAGCAATGATCCATCCCAACACATTAGATATAAGCAAAATGCCCAGATATTCAGAAATTTTAGATAAACAGGGGAAGCTTAAAAACAATCAGGTACTAAAGGAATAGGGAATTTCTATCGATTGGTGGCCATATTTACAATTGCACTCTAGATACAAGAAACACATGGAAGATTACGGAATTGACACGGAACCAAAACAACTCGATAAATTGTTGATAGGCTCTGAAGTAAAATTAATATCCAAAATATACAACTATCTATTAGAATTTGATAGAGTAGAGGAGGTGGTGAAAGAACTGATGATTGCATGGGCTAAAAACATAGGGCATAATATAGATTTAGATGATTGGGAAAGAATTTGGAACAAAAATTACACTATAACGAAATCTGCTGCTTACAAGGAAAATCAGTACAAAATGCTCTACCATTGGCACCTAGCCCCAGCAAGGCTGGCTAAAATGTATTCGAATCTAAGCCCAAAATGTTGGAAATGTAACCATCTGTTGTGGCCCGCCAAGGGCCTGCACGGATTGTGGCTGATCCCGACGACGAGGAGGCTGGTGTGGTGTCGCGCCGACAGCCTGTGCAGTCAGCGCTCGAGTCGGACAGCGAGGAGGTTGTGGTGCCAGAGGCAGAGACTCAGCCAGGGCCTTCAGAACCTCCAGAGGCTCCTTCAAGTGAAGAGAGTGAAGTGGAGGAGCCTCTTTTCAATGCTCGAGCACGCAGGGC